TCCAATGGTGGTTGTTTCATCCAAATTGGTTCGGTACATCAAAAGTTATAGTCAAAAATGTGTAAAACTCTTAATGTTAACACTATACATCCAATTCAGAATCAGCAAAAAGAATTATGCAGGATTATCATGAAAAAATGATAATAGGTGAAGCAAAAATGTAGTAACAGTAATCAAAAAATAACCAATAATATAATAAAAATAAGATAATAATTATATCAATTACAACTGTAAAATTTATGCATAATGATAAACAACATTTGAAAATATTTTTAGCTTATAAAAATAATTTCAATATCTAAAATTATTTTCAGTAGCCAAAATTATTTTTAAAAACCAAAATTATTTATAGTTTAGGTAGCCTAAAATAATTTTAGCAATTTTTATTTATAACAAGCCAAAAATAATTTAAGCATCTATCAGTAATCACAACAAGTTATTATAAAACTTAAGTTATATAAATTATTACTTTTCTAGTAATTATAATTAGAGTGAGAGGAATTGATAAAACCAGACTAAAAGTCAGGTTCACAAAAAAAATAAAGTTACCTCTATCTCTATTCAATACAAAATACTTAAATACTCAAATCAAATAAACTCACAAGATGTTATTATTACTGATTTGAATATACTAATTATATTAATCATTACAATTATCTCATAATACTATAAAGTCTATTTATTACTAAAATGATTATTATACTAAATCATGTCACTACAAAACTATCCATTTGACTGTAATAAGGTATATCACATATCTCATTACAGGCTAATTCTTGACAGAAGATGTCTAGATACTATTGTATCAAGCAGTTTTATATTTAAATTTACAAAGTTATTCTTTACTAATCATGAGAACTTTAACTGAATGTTGGAAATATATATAAACAAAGAAAAAACAAATGAAATTTAATGAATATAGAATGTTACAATGAATGTCTTAAAATATCATCAAGCAAAATATTATATCTCCTAATATTATAAAATGATGCCTATATGCAAATGTCTTCTTTATGTAAAATGATTGAATGATCTTGCATATATGTGCATAAATTAGACAAGAGCCTTGTATAGAAAATAAAATCATTTTGCCCATGATTTTGAATAGATCGAACCAATTTAAGTATTTTGTGTAAGTGTTTATATGATAATAAATATATATAAACTTGTGAATTTAAAGATAAACAGTATCAAATAGGTTTAACTATTTTTAGAAATTCTTAAATGAACCTATGACAGAATAATAAGATATTATCATTATTATTTATTTATAAATTTATATAATTTCTAATTTAACTAAGTATAGAAAATATTTATTTATTTATTTACAATATTGTGAAAAAATATTACACACTACTAATTTAAAATCAATGCGAATTCATAACTATAAAAGAAAAAAAACTATACTTGAAATAACAAATTCATAACAAAAGTAAAATAAAAAGTTTAAATTTAGGTATATAAAAAATGAAAAATATATGTGATAAAAAAAGAAAAAAAAAGAAAATTTTATTTAGTTTTGGGTTTAGTAACACTTGTGATTGAATCATGTGATCTTAGAGTATTACATAAAAAGCGACTAATAGGTTCTTTACTTTTTTTACGACTATTAGATCTTTTCTTTTGATGATCTATATTGTCCTTTGTTAATTCTTCTTCCTGATCAAGATCAACATAGTTATTATTATTCATATGAAACTCATTGTCAGTAACATTATCTTTGACTTGCATGAATTTCAATGATTGTAAAATATTTAACAAATCAAACTTGTATTTATTATAAAAAGAACTTGAATGCAATGAGGATGTGTTTTCATTTTCTGATTTTTCTTTAGAATTTTTTAAGATATTTTGATAAGTAGCTAAGAGTTTTGAATGAATTAAACTTTCAGAAGTTGTTTAGAGCATAGTGATGTTTAAATTTTTTTTTCCAAAATGTATATTAATATAATTAATATCAGTAGCATATATATAGAACTTATTATTAAAAATCTCCATTTGACCAACAACAAAAATCAATGATTCTTGAGGTCTAATTGTATTTTTTAAGTGAGCAAATCTTAAATTAAGATGTGAAAAAACAACCTTTATGATAAAATTACACTCTTCTCCAATGTAATCAGTTATTGACATTTGTATAATAGCATTTTCATTATTTTTGACTTTTTTCAGCATTTCTTTAGAAACCTTGATTAATGATACTTTTAAAGAACATTTATTTGATCCATGTATAGAACTTCTATTATGAATAGTTATATGCATAGAAGTTGAAACAGTCATCTAAATTAAACAAAAATACTAAATATTTAAGTTTACCAATATTAAAAATATTACTATATATATGAATTACTATGATAATACCTTTGCTTTTTTATTTTTCCATAGTATGTTGGCACGATTTTACCACCAACACAGTAAAAATTATCTTTCTCAAAAACTGCTTGTGTTTCTAAATCTTTTGTATTTAAATCAATCAGCACAAATAAAGTCATATCTATATTAAAATCTTTACACTTAATAGAATATCTGCTAATAGCCCAAATTCTTACAAAATTAGTACCTTCTTTTTTATACTGCTTTACAAATTTAATCCTTACAATGGTATTTGCATAACACAGCATTGAATGAAAATTATTTGAAATAAATTAATGAAAATATAATTCCAACTGTATATATATAAAAAAAATTTTTTTATATATTACTTGCCTGAATTAAAAATACTGAATATCATAAAAAACAATTTTACATTTATTTTTGATGAGTAATTTATTACCTGTGATGATATTATTTTAAGAAAAATTCTCATAAACTTATTATGTTATAAATAAAAAAAATACTATTAATAATACATTGCGACATTTGAAATTTATAATCATTACTGCACTTTAATATTAAACAGATATAAATTTAATTAAAAAAAAAATGTACAAATAGACCATCATATTTAAAACTTAAAAAACTGAATTAATAAAAAACATTCCAAAATTATACTTATAATGGTGAAACAAAAACTTCATACTAAACAATGAAATACTGATTATAAATGAGAATACTATGCAAAAAAATGACAAAAAACAATATATAAAAGTTTTCACAATAATAACTTTCATACTGCAACAAATAATACTTCATGGTGAGATAACTTAAATACTTTAAATAGTACAAATTTATCATCATTTGCTTTTTCATAGAATCAAAGATGCAATTACTGTTCAACTATACTTCTTACTAATAAACTTCCTGAATTTTGCTGTAATATTGAAAAACACATGATATCTTCATTACTGCCTTATCTCACATGTATTAATCTTATCATTAATAATACTAAATGTAACAGTTATTCATGAAAACTTAACATGCTTTTTTCATTTACAGTGACTGGAGTACAAGGTCAATTTGTAAAAATTCCAGCACCATCTTCAGTGTGTATTACAGGATGCACTTACTACTGTATGTTACCTATAGACACTCCTAACTATTCATTACATTGGTATATTTATGATGAGCAAGAATGATATATAATAGCTAGAAATCAAAAAATACCTAATGAATGGATTTCAATTATTTAAATTATATTAACACAAGTTAACCCTTATATAAATTTATTACAACCTTTTAAATACAACTTTTTATATAATGCAGTACTTGAACTCGAGAAAATAATACTACAGGAGAAATTGCTACTATTATGCATGCTAATAACATTGTAAATATACATCTATGAAATATCATGATTTGGCACAACATAGATATTATCTTCAAGTTTATAAGCATTTTTAGTTTACAATATGAACCTTTACAGTACTCTTTATTTTTTCTATACAGAACACCAGGATGGCATATAAAAAACAACTAGAATTTATCTCAAATCAATTAGTATCGATGTTGTTTAATACAAGAACAACACTTCTTAGTATTTGGAAGATTAACTTCAGAATACTTGGTTGACATGTACTCATGTGTAGAAGAAGAATGATTAAATTTTATATTAAAAGAAAAAAAATGTCTAAGCAAAGAAAAAACAAAACATAATCAAAATAATATTACTATAGAAGAAGACTTCGAAAATGTGAACAATGAAAATGAAAAAGAAGATCTACATCTTTCTGCTTCCTTTTTGGGTTCCAAAAGATGGTGTTCAACTCATATCACAAATGCACTTGCACTTGCTCATTGCTTGGGAAAACCAAGTTTCTTTATTACAATAACTACAAACCCAAATTGGGAAGAAATTCATTCACAATTACAACCTGGACAAAATGCATTAGAAATTGCTCCGATTGTTGTATGTTCCTTTTACTCTAGATTTAAAAAACTCAAAGACTTAATCCATACTCATTTTGGAAAAATTATTTATATAATTGAAGTGATCGAATTTTAGAAACATAGATTTCCCCACACTCATATAGTAGTACATGTGCAACCTGAACTGCCTATTGACCAAATAGATAAAGTTATAACAGCAGAACTACCAAGAGAAAAATCACATTTAAGAGAATTAGTTGAAAAATATATAATACATAAACAACAACATTTACCACATTGTCTTTGTAATAGAAAATGCATCTATAATTATTCAAAATCAATAATTCTGAAAACACATATTAATAAAAAAGGTTTTGTACAATATCATCATTGTATGCAAGAAGACATGTGGGTTGTACATTATAATCTGATGTTAATTTCAAGATTAGAATATCACATTAACTTCAAAATTGCATCTACTGTTAATTTATTTATATACTTATTTAAATACCTTTTCAAAGGCCCTGACTATGTAAAATTCACCATTAATAACAAATCTACTAATGAATCAAAAAATTATAACCAAAATAATCTTGGAACAACAAACACCAATCCAATAACAAATCAATGAATTAATGAATTTGAGGATTATATTAAAAAAAGATATTTATCAGCATCTGAAGCTATATAAAGGATCTTTTGTTATCCTATAACTATATCAGACCTGTTAGTTTTAACACTTCTGATTCATTTACCTAATACAAATATTCCTCAATATACTCATTATCAAAGAATTTCATCATCAGCATCACTTCTTGATCATTACTTACTTCATCTACTTGAATCAATTTTTACTTAATTAAAATATACAGAATACTATGAAAATTATATACTATATTTATATAACCCAGATAACATAAATAAAAACAACTTCATTGAACAGGAACATCCTAATGTACTGAAAAAAATCATGCAAAAATGAACTGCAAATAAAATTACTAGAATAGTTTTAATTGCACCAAGAGCCAGTGAACTATTCTACTTAAGAAGTATCCTATTGCATTGTTTTGTTTGATCTTGGAATGATTTAAAAATAATAAATAGAAATACTTACAATACTTATCAAGAAGTTGCATATGAAATGGGACTATTTGCAAATGAAAGTGAAAGCATACTTATAATGAAAGAGGTTATCGATAACTTTTACATACCAGCACAATTACGATTTCTATTTACACAACTAATATTAGATAGTGTCCCATCATTTGAACTATGGCAATGATATAAAAACAACTATTCAGCTAATCATCAAGAAAAACTACATAACAATCACTCATTAGCTATAGACATAATACTTCAAGAAATAGCATTAATGCTTGGAGAACATAGACAACATATGTGTAATTTTGGCTTACCTGAACCACATTCATAAACCCGAGAAGTAATAGTAGAACTCCAACATACTCTAATTATATAAAATATAAACAACTCACTGAAAAATTTCATTCAATGATGACTTCAGAACAAACAATCTTTTATGAAAATGTTGTAAAATATATACTAGAAAAAAAAATCTCAACTATGCAATCAATAAATAAATTTCCTATTTTTTTAGATGGAAAAGCTGGGCAAAGAAAAACATTCTTAATTAATGCAATTTGTTACAAGATTTGAGTGGCAAGAAAAATTATTCTGATATGTGGAACCACAGCTTTATTAGCCCTTCTTTATGAAGGTGAATGTATAGCATATTCATTATTTCGTATACCCATTGAAGAAAACAATATAAACATCCAATCAACAATAAAACTTAATAGCAACTGTGCAAACTTACTTCAAGCTGCTGAACTAATTTTGTGGACAAACTTTCTATGATAAACAAAGCTGTACTAGAAAGTGTAGACCTTCTTCTCCAACAAATCTGTGAAAAGGAAGATCCATTTAGTGGAAAACTATTTATAGATATCAGTGATTTCAGACAAGTAGCACCTATAGTAAAAGGAGCAAGCAAAAGTGCTACAATAAATGCATTAATTAAAACTTTGCATTTATGAAAAAACTTTAATATATATACTCTTAATTAACCAATTCGAAACTCAACCGATCCAAACTTTGCCAAATTTATAGACAATATTAGAGAAAACTATATAGATCAAGAAGTTTCATTAAATATTTTTAAAACTACTTGAGACATAGAAGAGGTGATTTTATTTTTATATCCTAAAAACATAATAACAAACAATAATAACATATAACAAAAAGCAATTCTTAGTCCTCGAAACATTTTAGTTGATGATTTTAACTATCAAATACTAAACAAACTACTTGAAATAACCCACATGTACTTTAGTTATGATGTAGTTAAAAAAATAACAAAATTATTAATGATCATTCTATTGCAACACCAGATTACCTTACTCAACTAATATATCCAAAAATACCTAATCATGAAATACATTTAAAATCTGAAGCTGTATGCTCCATAATGCAAAATATTTCTATTGACAAAGGATTAGTTAAAAACTCGTAGGTTATAATAACTAATTTAAAACAAAGGCTAATTGAAGTAGAAGTACTAAAACATAATAACTTCACAAATCAAACAGAAACCTACTTAATTCCAAGAATTAACTTTTATTTTCAACCTGATTACTGTTCCTAGACAGTACACAGAAAACAGTTTCCATTACATATTGCTTACTCAACAACATTTAACAGTTGTCAAGATCTCATCTTAAACCATGCTGTCATTGACCTTAGAACTAATATATTCACATATGGACAGCTATACATAGCAATATCCCAAGTAAAAAATAGAACCCATGCACTAATTCTCTTACCAAATAACAATTCAGAAACAAAAGTGCTAAATGTTATATATGAAGAATTAATACAATAAATATACTAAATTTTTTTTAATTTTAAAATAAATTTATAAAAATAAATAAATAAACTATAACTTAAAATCATTCAAAAAATACAAAAAATAAAAAATAAAAAAATAACCCAACCACTACAATTATTTAAATTTTACATGATAAAAAATTTTCACAACCTAAAACTAACATCAGATTTGAAAAAAAAATCAGGATAGAGATGGAGTCCTGTAGCCTAGTGGTCTAGGCGCTCCACCCTCTACAGACAAGGTCGATGGTTCAATTTCAGCTGAAGACAACTCTGTAATCTATGGAAGCATATGAATGTACACGAAGCCCTGTGGCTAAGTCCATGTGATTAGAAGATCGGTATATAAGGAAGTTCCCGGAAAAAAGATTCCTGATATGG